GTGATCTACAACAATTCTATGGCAAACATTCTAGCCAATTATAAATACAAACATAGCAACATTCTCTTTATGAAGTAACTCTCTCAAGGTACTTAAGTAATCTTTTGTCTTCAACTTATTACAAAACACTCCTTGACTCATTTCTTATCTTGTTAGGTAATTTCATAAATTCTTGTTTTATCAGCTCATTTCTCAGTAAGCACGCTACTCCTAATACTTACTTAAAATAATGAGAAATTAATTTTGTTGAAAGTTAAAAACTAAAAACAATCTACAACAATTCTATAGTGAACATTCTGGTCAATTATAAATAAAAACATAGTAACATTCTCTTTAAAAAGTACCTCCCTTGAGTCATTTAAGCAATTATTTGTGAGACTCATTATAACATTTAACAAAACACTCATTCTTGACTCATTTATCATCTTGTAGGTAATTCTATATATTCTAGTTGTATCAGCTTTTTTTCTTCTAATAAGCATATTACTCCTAATACTTACTTAAAATAACAAGAAATTATTTTTGTTGAAAGCTAAAAGTGATCTACAACAACTCTATAGTGAATATTTTGGCCAATTGTAAATAAAATCATAACAACATTCTCTTTAAGAAATATCTCCCTTGAGTCACTTAAGTTACTCTTTGCCCTCAACTCATTACAAAATTTAACAAAACACTTCTTCTTCATTTAAAGTAACTCAAAATGCTATTAAAGATCTATTTAATAACTCTTGAGTATAATCATGACCAGTCAATGCAAATGTTTGAACCTTTTTTTATTTAGAAATTCCTGATTATATTCATAAAACATGTTAATTAAAATAAACTTAACTAATGCATCATCACTTTTATGAATATCTATTATGATTATAACTCTTGAGTATAATCATGACCAATCAATGCAAATTTTTGAACCTTTTTTTATTTAGAAATTCTCGATTATATTCATAAAACATGTTAATTAAAATAAACTTAACTAATTCATCATCACTTTTATCAATATCTATTATGATTATAACTTGCTATATAATTCTACACAAAAAAATTGATAAAAACAATATTCAATAAAAATTGTATAATAAAAGTGTAATAGCATAGATAAATTTACATAACTCTCATTATTGAGGTATTGATTTTCATGCTTATTTTTTCATTTATATTTGGTGGATTTTGAGTAAATGAATGATGAAGTACCCTAATAGTTGTAGTACTTCTATTGAATATCATTTTCAATAACTTATAATACTCACATTGTTTCTTTTGAATTGAGTAGCTTTATCATGTGCCTAAAGTAATATAAGCAAATAGACAATCCATTAATTATTGACTACTAAATCAAATAAAAAAATAAAAATATTAACCATTAAATTAAATAATGCTTGTAGATAATTTTGTCATACTTCACTTATAGGAATAGTGGCTATTTTTGCATTCCATCCAAATCTAGTTTGTTACAAAAATAGAAAAAAATTATGATAAATAACTCCTACTACACACATCTTTGTAATTATTCTATTTTATATGGATGATTTGTTATAAAATTTTACTTCATAATCATTGAATTCCATATTTTAGAGAAAAACACATCATTTTACCATGTTTCTTTTTGTGACTTCATCAACCATGATATTAATGATAAATCTATTTGATAAAAACGTTTAAATCAATGATTAAATTGATTAATCTTTCATTTTATGATAAATTATTAAAAAGTGTAAGTGCTCAAATTTAACACATAATGTTAATAGATCCTCTCTATATATAGGGATTGATAAAACTATACTGATGTAAATTATACTTACTCTTAAACTATTAATAACTTAATACAGAAAATAGTTTTGATTGATCTAATTGTTAAATTATAATTATATATTATCAAGATTATGTATGTCAAATTTTGTCAAAATTGAATATTTATAAAATTTTTATTAAAAAGTATTTATTTTCATAAATTTTATAAGTATTTATTAAGTTAATTTTGATGTATGTGAATAAGATATCAAATAATTTTGAAACAATATCAAATTTTTCATGTGTCATTTACGTGATTGAAACTTTTAATCTAATGGTTAGTTTTAAAATAAAATTATCTAATAAAAAATTATTAAATAGTGTAAGAATAAATGTAACTTATTATAACATAATTTGACCCCTTCCATAATTTGAGTAAAAATATAAGTAATTTTTATAATTTATCTCTTCATTTAATTTTATTAAACATAATAACATTTATTATTATTAATTGCTATATTTTTTTTATAAAAATAACTATTAAAATATTTCTATAATAAATTTTAAATTATTTAATTTTTTTATAAATTTATTTAAATTTAATAATACCCATACAATGCGTATGAGAAAATCACTGGTTATAAAAAAAAATTGAATTCAAACATATCTCTTTGATGAAAATTTCTATTGATAATAGAGAAAAAAATAACGTAAAAAGAGAGTGATGCATCTGATTACAATAAAAATACTCCCTCTCATTCTTCATGCATTAAACAAAAATACTATTTACTAAATTTATCGTTGGATTAGTTTTCACAAATGTATATATTTTTTAAATATTAATATAAACACTTTGAATTTAAACTAATAATATGATAGAAAATTTTCTTAGCAAATAATTTTATTAATATGATATGATACAATCATTAATATAATACATTATTTGTTAATATAAACTTTGAAATATTTTATTAAAAAATGGTCTTAATAATATTTAAACAAAACTATTATAATAAGTGATATTTTTTTGTAATGAATAATTAAAAAGGATACCTAACTCGCATTGAAGTAATCGTAGGTAGATAAAAATGTAAACGCTGGGCATAAAGTTTGTGAATCACTTGAACAAAACAGCATGAATATTGATGTGGTAGTGCTTCATCAACCTTTTTGGGACCACTTCTTTGTTAATTTTGGTCAGAATCATTGCATGAGGCATGCTACAAGCTCCACCAGTTCTTCATTTTCTCCCTTTTTTTCAACTAGTTATTCGAATTTATCTGAACTCCGTATTTGATTAATATAATATAATTATAATAAAGTAAGATAAATTTTTTATCTGAGAAAATATATTTAATTTTATTCTCTTTATGAATTTGATGTGCTAAATTCAACGAGTTATTTATATGAGGAGTAGCACTTATTAATTCATTTTGGGACAAAGGAATGAATGGTGGAGAAAACAAGATGAACATCTCCAAAATTAGTTAACTCTACAAGCTTTCCTTTTTTGCTATTTGTTTAAATTTTTGCTGAAATCACCATTCATAAATGTTCAGAGTTAAACTAAATATAATCCATGGTTTATCCTTTTTTTATATACATAAAGCATAGCTATGGATAAATATCCCGTAATATAGACTATTCATTATTCAAAACTTAAATATATCAACCACAATAAACATTTGCTTTAAAATGTAATATTTTTTTAAGATCTATTCCTTTTTTTTTTTTAATATGTCGTGTAACTTTTATATATCAAGTATTTCACATTTTATTTATTTTATTTTATACTTTTATTAATCTCAAGTATATCAATTAAATTTAATTAATCACTTTTAAGTTGAATTTAAATTTTAATATTCTTGTATCAATATTTAAAATTTAAAAAAGGAAAACAAAATTTAAGTAATATTATTTAAAAGTAAATAAATTTAATACTTAATATGTGAGAAGACTGAAGACATGTGGCTTAATGAAAAAGTGAATAATTCATAACTTAATAATCAACCTCTATATATACGGTCTGAATATAAATTTTTGAATGAAAATATGTTTAGCAGTATTTTCTAATGGAATCCTTTTTAAGAGTATTTTCAAATACAAGTGTTTTAAGATTTTTTCATATTATGTATCTATTTGTTTAATTTAACATTAATTTAAAATTTGAACTATTGATAATTTATTTAAAATTTTATTTAATATAATAAAATATTTAATAGCAATAACTATATTATTTACTATTTTTTATTAAATTTATTACAATTAAAATTGTCATATAATATATTTTAGATTATTTATTTAAATAATATAATTTAATTTAGTGATAACTATACCATGAATGAGAAAATTACTAGTTAAAGAGTAATTTACAAAATTGCTCTTGTTCATGAATGAGGATTTGAATTTATTAAATTAAAATTATTTTTAAATAAATAAATTAAATTTATATTGTATGAATATTTTTAAATTGAATAAATCAGAAAGCAACAATTTTTCTTATTAATAAAAAATATATAGTATTAAATAGAACTAAATTATACATAGAATATTTAAATAAGAAATATAAAAAATTCAAATTTATTTTTATCAATACGGTGTGCTAAAATTTAATTTCAAATTAAAATTACAATAATTTTAAAATTTAATATATATAAAAATAATATCTTGAATTTGATATACCATGTCAAGATTTAAAATTTAAATAAAATATATTTGAAATCAAAATAAAAATATATATATTAGGAAGGAATAAGAAATTAATAAAAAATAAATAAATATTCAATATAATAGAAATTGAATGACGTAAATAACTTCTAAAATCACTTTCGTTTAAAAGCAAATTCAGAATCATTATATAGAAGTAGGAAGGTGAATTATTTTTTCAAAGCTATTTTGTTTTAAATGAAATGTTTTGAAAGAAAGGGAATACTTGCAGTTGTAGATTCGAGGAGTTTAATTCTTGAATCTTGCTATTCAAGTCCATATTTTTTGGTTAGTTAAAAACTTGAAAGAGTAGAGTGGTAGAGCATCGCGGTTACTTCTTATTCAAAAGCTCCTCCTAACGGATAATTAAAACCAATTAATTTTTTCAATTCAGCAGCTACTTCTACCTCACTCAACACCTCTATTCAATGTACCCTCAAACCCAAAAACAATAAAAACCCATCTATTTTCTATCTCAAAATATTCAACATTTTCTACTCTTTCTTATTATCATCATCATCTGCTCAAAGGGTCTGATCAAATCGTTAGGAAAACAAAAGAACATGGGAATAAGAGATTTTCATATCAAGTTTAAGGTAAGTCAATATCCTTTTCCCTATTCCAATGTTGCGTTAAAATTCTTTGAAATTCATGAGAAACATGTTAATTGATACATGAGTTGTGACTCAGAGGCCTAATGCAAGGGTGTAAAGAAAATGTTACTAGGAAAAAAATGGTCTTGACCCTTTTGAGATTTTCTTGTCTGTGATATTGCTAAATGCTTGTTTCGTATCAATGATTAGTAATTGACATCAATAGCTAATCTCTCTATTGAGTTGGACAGGCATTCCGGTTGAAACGCTTTTTCTTTGGCAGAAAGAGAAATCAATGGAGTGCAAACAAGCCTTCATGGATGATTCCAATAACACACGGACATCATGTGGTGGAGCAACATGTGATTAAAGGTGGTTCTGATGACTCGGACTTTGATTCAGTTGTCATACAGAGAGAGCAAATGGACCACACAGAGTTGTGGTATTTTGGAATCTTTGATGCTCTAATTGGAGATGGGGTCACCAAGTATATGCAATCCCATTTCTTTGGCAAGAAGCTAAAAGAGGTAATCAACCAATGTTATGTAATTTTTTCTCCTGAACCAGACAATAATGCTTATGATTTGTTATTATACTATTTTGTTCTGGGTTTGGCTAATCAGCAATAAACTTGAAATTTAGGTTAAAATGTATTGAAAAATAAGGAAATAGATATATTTTTATGTTTTTAAATAAGAAATTTCTCTTTAATTCTTAACTAGTGTTGTTTTTCTGTTAAATTCTTGTGACAACTGATAAATCCTAAGTGATGGAAGCCAATATTTGAAATAGTGGAAGCCAAGAGCACAACAATAATATAGTTGTGGGAACGGGGTGCTTCTTTGGGGAGTAAACACAATGCACTGATTCATTCAGGGGCGGAGCTATGCTTGTTATAGATGGGCCATGGCGATCCCAAAATTTATAATTTTCTTTCATCCATATATGTATAAAGAAAATTATAAAATTTAGAGGTCTGATTTTTTATATATGGAATTTAAAAACACACAAAAAAATTCTAAAATTTGGCGTAGGTAATGATAAAACAATAAAAATTTATTTTTTAAAAATTGTCAATAATGACTTTTTAAAAAAATATTAAAATTATAAAAAGTCAAAACTTACCAATTGTTTTAAACAAATTAAAAATTAAAAAATGTCACTGATGTATTTTTATCAAATACAATTTTTTAAAAGTTTATATATTTTCGTAATTTTTTTCTAAAACACTATTTTGGTAATTTTGTCATTTTTTCCATATAAAAAAACCCAAATTTAGATCCTATATGTATATATAATAATTTTAAAGTTTAATTCAATCTTTTTATTCTTATGTTGTAATTAATGTTTAATTTTGGCTTCAAATGCCTATATATTTGAATTTAATTATTTAAATTTTTAATTGCTATAATAAAATCTTTACATTGATTTCTTTTTTTAAATATTAAATTCTTATTTTCTTTAGAAAATTATCATGAATAAAGCTAATTAAACCATATTTAACTCTTTCGCTTAAAATTTATTAATTAATAGATTATTGTTTAATTAAATTAGAAAATTTTAAAAGTTTATGATCTTTAAAAATCTTATCTTCATGTCTTATATAAATCATTCAACTTCAAACTTCGAAACTTGAAAGAAAAATTCTATCTCAAACATATTATATAACTTCAAATATTTGAATAAAAAAATAAGAATGTAAAATTTTTGCGTAAAAGAAAAATAGGGAAAATGACATGGCAGAGGGGAAAACATGTAAACTTACAGCTAGATGCATATATTAAAGTTGAACCATGGCACGTTTTGATTTTTTCTTGAATTTACAAAGCTAGCATTGACATATATTGGGAAACAAAGGTAAAGATTAAGATGTTGTACACCATAACTTCTCTATTTGAAATACATTTTTAGCCTCTTTCTGTGTCTCTTATGTTCCAATTACATGTTAGTGTCATATGAGGAGGAAAACCAAAGAAACACTCAAGAAAGCTTACCTAGGTGTAAGAACAAAGATCAGAGAGGCACATAGATCAGAAGAGGAAACATGCAGAATAGGTTCAACATCTGTGATGGTCATAAATGGAGAAAAACTTGTGATAGCCAACATGGGAGATTACAGAACTGTCTTGTGCAGAGATGGTGTTGCTTATCAGACAAATGGAAGACACAATCAATCAGCAAAGAGACATTGGTATCGCAGACTCTTTTCAGGTATCAAATACTTTCTATTTGGGAATTTCAGAATTTTGTTACTTTTTTCATTCATAACCATGGGAGGCTAACACAGTCCCTTCTTATAAATTGATGACTTTTTAATGATTACTTTATCACATAGCTCAATAGCATGTATGGTCGACGTAACCGACCATAAAACTTAGTTGTTGTTGTTTAATGATTACTTCAACTTTTTTTGAAAAACGACCAATTTTAAAGAATGTGTTACTAAGTGGACATAAGTTTTAGTTAACAAATCTCATGATGGATGCTATTCATGTGCACAAAAGTACGCATGATAGCATGTGAATCAGGGAGTACAACTAGTACAAAGCATTCTAAATTCTCAGAACTTGTGGTGGGAGCTGATAGGATCGACTCTGATACTGAATTTTTGATCTTAGCAAGCAATGGCATATGGGAGGTAAGGCCCCAATTAATATGTAACTTCAGAGATATTTGATTTGATTTCAGATAATATTTTTTAGAATGGTTATAGGGAAAAGGAAATAGTAGCTGATGAATCTCAATATATGTATTTGCAGGTGATGAAGAACCAAGAGGCTGTGAATCTTATAAGGCACATAGAAGATCCACAAGAAGCAGCTGAGTGCCTGGCAAAAGAAGCTCTGATTAGGATGAGCAAAAGCAACATTTCATGCTTAGTAATTCGCTTTGATTGATTCCTCACTAATCACCATAAGGGTGTATCCTTAAAAAGTTTTGTTGAATGCTCCTTACAGCAGTTGTAGCCAACTAACTTATGTTACTCTTCAAGATTGGTATAAGGCTTTTGAAGAGTTCAATCCACAACTAGATTATCTAATCTATGTGTTTGCACACTTTCATTACCAATAGAGAGAAAAAGAAACCGCGCTAGTAGGCCTAGAATGTGTTGATGGCAATATTATTCCTCTTTCTTTGGAATTCTTAGACGTGATTTGCATTCATGTTCAGAACGCTTGTTCATACACCATGTTGTGTTCCTAAGCACTATCTACAACTGTTAGATTGAAAGTAAACTCTTAAATTAGTCATGAAAATTCAACGTGTCAAGTGTTTTAGTTCTTAAAATTTTTAATATTTTTGGCAAATATCTAACCTTTTAAAATGACATTTATTATAGTTTTTTTAGTATAAAATAATAGTAAAAGATAGTTAAAGAAATTAACTAAAATGATTTTTTTTAAAAATGATTACATACCTTATTATTATTATTTTTTATTTAGATACCTATTTTTGAGAAAATAAAATGCTATTATAAATAAAAATATTAATTACATTTCTTAATTTATACGTTACTCTCGTAAGTAAATAGACAAGAAAAGGAAAGAAATTGTGAGCCATGAGTCATGACTAAATTAATTATAAATAAAAAAAATTATGTTTCACTCATGACTGAATTAATGACGAGTCAAAACTGACAATAAAATTTATGGCGAACGTATCTCGACATTATACATAAATTATAAAATTTAAAGATTAAAGATAAGAGATTCTATACAGTAAGATTTTCAAAGAAATTATATTAACATAAAAATTATCATTATTCAAATTTAAAAATAAGATATAATAAACAATATATACTTCATTTTAAAATTTCAACAGAATTATGCCTTCAAATATAATACAACATTAAATTAACTGGCCTTATTCTAATACCAATTAAACTATGGACAGAACCAAATTTCAGGGCTAGATTAGATCTTGAACTTTCCTAGTTGCTTCTGTTATTGGAGTAAAGAATTTGAATTTTTTATTGACCATAAAAAAATTGCCATTTTTATCTCTCTTAAGTGCATGACCCAAGAAGTAGATTCCAACAGCAACATATTATTTACTAATACTATGATATTTTCAGCTAAATAGTAACACAGGACCATTGAGGCCTCAAAAATAAAAAAAAGAAAGAAAAGAATCAAGTAAATGGTCACCGCTTCAGCCTCAAATTACACCCTCAAGCCATCATTATCTTTTTCTCTTTGCTGCTTCGGAATGGTGATAACAAGGAGAAAGAGCGAGAGGCTGCATAAGAACATATTATAATGTTCATATTCAAAACATTAATAGCCACCAAGATGATTAGATAAAGCAAGAGTCAGTGCATGTTTAGTTTAGTTTATTTTGAAGAAATAATCGTTATTTTTTCCAAATTTCTATGAGAACTTCCCAAAAATTAGCTATTATTTTTCCTGAAATCAGTGATTCCAAACATGCACTCAAGAAATTGAGCAAGTGCTTACATTTTTGAGGAGTTGTGCTATTTGTAGGAGTTTCATCTCGAGAGATCAAATTCTTCAGGGTATGAACTATGATAACACAGCAAATCCAAATATGGTCAGTTTGAGTATATCAGTCATGTCACAAATAAAATTGTATACCGTTTAGAACGAACAAGGATGAATATATGAAAAATCATCTAAAGCAAAAGCTATAATTCTTGAAAATATGAAACAAAATCAAAACAATGCTAAATATATATGAAAATATATCTACTGAAAATGAAAAAAAAAAAAAAAAAAACAAATGCACCTTGGATTTTCACCAAATCATCCACTTATTACTCAATGATTGAGTTTTTCCAGCAATAGTTATTTATGTTCATATTACCTTCATTGGAGGAACCATCAGTTCCAATCTCATTTGCTTCAGAACCATCAACACCGGCATTATCTGATTCCATGTTGTGTCCGGCAGTAGGTGAGTTATGGTTCTTTCTTCCAAACTTCAACAACCGTCTCAACCCTTTTGATGATTCCTTTACCTGAGGCTTCTCAATTACTTCAGGAATCTTCTCAAGCGTTGAGTTTCTGGTGTCAGACACGCGTGCTCTAAAAGTTTCCATACGATTTGATGCACTCTCGTAGATTGCAGGAGGAGCTTTACCATACTCAGAGTTTCGTGTACAACCATCTTCCAAAGAAGAAACTCGAGCATATGGAGCATGATAAGTCTCCTCAGTAATCTGAACGCCAGATGATTTTGAAGGTTCTTTCTCTGTATTATTTATTTTAACCTGAGTTTGGAAGAAAATATACTCAAAATTAACCAATGTATAAGAATTTATCCCATGCAAGGAGAATTCAGATAAACAACATGGGCATGTCAATAACAATAAATCAAATCAACATTTCTTGCCCATACAGTTGAAGCTCTAAAATATCGTATCTTTCCTAAAATTAAAAATCAAATATCAGTAAATTTATTAAAATTTCCTCTAAACATAGACTTCTCTTACACCACCCCAATATCTGAATACTACGAGTAAAAATTGGCAGAAAAGCAAAATTTTAACAAAGTGTACCAGCGCTCATGTTATAATGCAATTTCCCAACGTACAGTAAGGAGTAGAATTGGAAGTAATCCTATTGCTTTGCCATGCAAAAATTATAGGTAACACATTAGCAGCAGTTTCAAGCCTCACATATGAAAGGCCAAGTTGATTCCAATATTCAGCATATTTATCGTTAATTTATTTAAAAAATCATATGCCTATCAGACCGACAGAACATTCATAATAATTCATGATTATGTTCACACTTCACAGAAATTTATTTTATGCATAATATATCAAACATACACAAGAGTATAAAATATCAAGACAGTTAACTGTTAATGGATCTACTTGAAGTTATGAAGACACACCTTGGAGGATACGGATTGCACATATGATTTGTTCTCCCTTGTTTTTATATCTACTGAAACGGGTGCACCAACTGCAATATATCTCATCTTGGTCTCAGTTTTCTCCATCGCTTTATCATTGTCACACTGTCTCTTTGATATCCTTGTTTTGTCTTTTGACTTGCCATCAGTAATATCAGGGGCACAAGGTTTTTCACACTCAAGAATCACAACAGACTTCTCAATTATAGGGTTGTCATCTTCATCATCAACAGGTAAAATTCCAATTTCATTTTTCTTCTCCATGGTACCTTCTGAATTCAGAGAAGACTTGTTACCATTCAGCTTCTGTGTGCTCTCTTTAACTGATGATTTGTTTTGGACAATATCGCTTACTTTAGATGTTCTAATTTTGAGTTCAGGGAGGGTTGCAGTCTTGCTTATATCGTGATTTACAATAGCAGAAATCTTTCTGCTCTTATTTTCATCAGCTGCTTTAGTCATTGAAATTGTCCTAACACCCCGCGGTTTAACCGTGGAAGTCTGATGAATGGTACTCATTTTAGGTTCTGATAATCTTCTAATCCGTGCCATTGATGCCTTATCTATTGTACCACCACCCTTCTCTTGCTTGGATTTGGGTAAAGAAGGTGCTGCTCGGCTTAATTTGTTTGTAACTGAGTGCCTTCCAGGATTCAATCTGCCAGTTTTTTGAGGCTTTTGAAGAATCATTGGACCCAACAGAAGCAGCTCTGATGGGGAATCTTTGGTAGGGCGAGGATGACCCAGGCTCTGAATCACTAAATTTTGATCCTTTATGAGAACCTGGTGAAAGTTTTGTTGGAATCTGTTTCTTGGTTAGCTGTGATGGCATGGGTGACTTGGAAGTAATTGAGCTACTCCTGGCAGCAATTCTCTTTTGTCTCTCCATCTTTAAAGAGTCAAGGCGTTTTATCTCTTCCTCTTCCTAGTTATTATAAATAAAAGAAAAGAAATAAATAGACATGAGAAGCAGATCAATGACCTTGAAATCAATAAACTCTAATTAATCTATATGTAAACATACCAGAAAAAATGTTAAGTTTACTTCAGTTTTATGTTAATCATTTGACTTGGGGGGTGGGGCACGGTTAGTAGCCAGGGCAATACAAAAGATTACCTTCTCTTTCTTCATTTTCTGGAGATCAGCTTTGTAGTTTCGTAGTCTTTCAGCGCGTGCTCGTGCTTCATCCAGTGGACTCAGTTTATTTGTCTTTCCTCTCCTTAATGGTCCAACAGTCTTCTTTTTATCAGAACTATTTGCAGAAGGTTTTGATTTCTGCTCTTTATCCAACATCTTGGATCCTGGTTTTGTGTGGACCGATACTCTTGTGTTCTTTGTATCTTTTGAAGCACTGCCTCTAGTCTGGGCCTGCATTTCATACTCCAATGCAGGGTCATAACTCATTGACCCCTTTTCTGCTCCTCGTTCAGGTATCAAGTTCAATTCATCTGGTTGATATTTGGAAACCTTTTCTTCCTTCCTATGCCTATGCAACTTAGGGAACTCTGAGTCCATATCGATAGCATTTCTCTCAAGATTTCCAGCATCATTGACCCTGACTGACCTATGTTCAACTATATAGGAGTCATTGTTCATGTCATGAAACAACTTCCTTTCCAATTTATTGCCTGAATAACCTTGTCCATCAACAGCTGACACATCTGAGGAAGGATGTAAATTACCGGACTGACTTTGTTTAAGAGTGACGAAATCATCACCAGCATCCCTCCTATAACTAATCCTTCTCCTTCCATCTATTTCTAAAGATTGTACATCATCCAAAGACCTACCACCATTTCCAGACTGTCCTGACCTTCTAGTGTTCAAGAAATCCTCATTGGATGACCTATGCATGTGGATCAATCCCTTGCTAATGCTATGCATATCTACAGCTCCACCTCCTTGAATTCCATGCATATTCCGCCCAGTAAAATCTATAGGATCATTGACTGCAGCATGTTTTTTTCCTCTCACACGATCAACCTTTTCCAGATCAAACTGCTCTTGATCAATGGC